CATTCATTCATTCATTATGAAAACTTTATGGAAGCACAAGTCTGCCATTATAATTATAATGAGAAACTTTCTCCTGATAATGATTTAGTATCGTAGAAAATTGACTAATGATAAATAAGTTTATATTATATTAATATTATTTTACATTAACATTATAACGTTAGCTAGCATCAGTCTTGGACATTTGCTAGTATTAATGAGGTTAACCTTGTATAGCTAATATATACATATATATATATATATATATATATACATTTTTATATTGTTACTACTATCAATACATATTTACTCCCTGTGGAAACCAAACAATTTATATCTGCATTCAGTTATATTTATCTGGACAAAAATCTGTGCTTCATGCATTTCTGCTCCTGTTATCGATCACATTATTGATTTATGGGATTCTCTGTCTATCTGTGTGCACACACTCAGTCATTTAAAAAACAGGGAAACAAAGTGAATATATTTGGGACACTATTGTACGGTAACACAGTACAGCTCATTATAATGTGTATGCACTCTGTGGAGTTCACAGCTGTAATGTCAGTAACTGTAGATCAGAGACATAAACTTAGCTTAATTTAGAGGCTGATATTCAAAACTATATTTGTAAAGTTAAAAAAATATAGTCTTCAGGCCCTGTGTCAATGCAGATAACAGACAGAAAGACTTTTAAGCTTTTAAGAAGGACAGATTGCCTTAAATATTCAGCAGAATTTTAACCATCCTGACCTTCTTCACTCTTTGTTTTGTTCTGTATTTGAGACTGAATAAGATTCAAATGCCCCAAAATGACATCTGTTTACACTGAAGTAACAGTAGATAATGTCTCCGCCCTCAGGGGGAGGAGCTTTGGGTGCAGCAGATCGCTGTTTGGAGGCGTAATGAATTCTGCAGTCACGTGGAAATCTTGACGTAAAGATGATTTTATGCATTTTTAAAAAATTCTTACACACTGATGTTTGTTCCAGTACTCATTTTTATGATCAGTTTGGTTTTAATTAGTTTAGAAAACTACAAAAATGTCACGATTGACGTAGACTCCGAATGTGGAAGGTGGCAGCGGCTGTATCCGGGACATTTATCTTTTATATGTCGATGATTGAAACCAATTGAACACTGCACCTCCTAAGTTTGTAGGAGACACTACAGTGGCTGGGAAACTCATGGAAAACCTGCAAAGTCCTATCTAGAACCAGTGTTTGGTTTCTGTTCTGAACTACTGTGGAAACATGGTGGTTCAACAT